GTACTCAGAGGGTGGTGGTGGATGGGTCATATTCAACCTGGGAGGAAGTGGGCAGTGGAGTCCCCCAGGGCTCAGTCCTTGGGCCCGTGCTGTTCAATTTCTTCATCAGTGATTTGGACGATGGGGTGAAAAGCAACCTGTTTAAATTCGCAGATGATACCAAAATTTGGGGTGAGGTGAGCACACTAGTAGGAAGGGAAAGATTGCAGCAAGACCTGGATAGGTTACGGGGTGGGCTAACAAAAACAGGATGCGTTTCAATACTGACAAGTGCAGGGTGCTGTGGCAGTGCAAGTGTGCAGGGGCACACTTATAACATGGGAAACTCCCTTCTTGAGAGTACAGAGGCAAAAAGGGATCTTGGGGTCATTAATGACTCCAAGATGAACACGGGCCGACAATGCGAGGTCACAGTTGGCACGGCTAACTGAACCTTGTTGTGCATCCACAGGTGCATCTCAAGTAGGGCCAAGGAGGTGATCCTCCCCCTCTATGTGACGCTGGTCAGGCCACAGCTGGAGTACTGTGTCCAGTTCTGTGCGCCCCACTTCACGAGAGATGTGGACAACATTGAGAGGGTCCAGAGGGGGGCCACCCACATGATCAGGGGGCAGCAGGGAAGACCCAACATTGAAAGACTGCGGGACCTGAACCTGTTCAGCCTTCGCAAGAGAAGACTGAGGGGGGAAACCTGGTAACAGTCTATAAACTCACTAGGGAGGTCCAGGAGGGTTTGGGAGAGACCTTGTTTCCCCTAGCGCCCCCTGGCATAACAAGGAATAATGGCCATAAGTTGTTGGAAAGTAGGTTTAGATTAGACATCTATAAGAACTACTTCACAGTCAGGGCAGCTAGGATCTGGAACCAACTTCCAAGGGAAGTGGTGCTGGCTCCTACCCTGGGGGTCTTTAAGAAGAGGCTTGATGCCTACCTGGCTGGAGTCATTTGAGCCCAGTTTTTTCTCCTGCCCAGGCAGGGGGTCAGACTTGAAGATCTACAAGGTCCCTTCTGACCCTACTTCTATGATATTTGTAATTCCTAAGCGCATTTGTCCTCCACTTGTAAAGCTAGAGGCATTTAAGCAATATATTTCAGAGGTGTTTTTAAAGCACTGTTAGAGACAGCTCAAAAGCAAAGGGAAAACAATAATCAGTTGCCAAGCCCCAATTCTCTTAACAGTGAAACCAAAACCACATTTTTCCTATGTTTAACAAATATACAGTCTATTGAACATTTTAATTTTTCAGGTCTTGAATATTTCTTTCGATTCAAGTCTAGTCCCTATGTAAACCCTGTAAATACAGAAAAAAATCCTCTTTTCATCTCACTATTTTTGGCTATTGTTCATTTTCAGCTCCTTCCTGCATGTTATCGCTACAGGACCTTTATTTCAGACAAGTATGCAACTACTGGTGAAACAGCCGTGTGAACCAGCTGCAAAACTAACTGAGATCCTCCTATAAACCCAAACTAAGCAACTTTACTTAACAGGCTTTCAAATTCTACCAGCCAACAAAAGCAGCCAAAAGCAGCACCCTTGTAAGTCCAAAACTTTTTTGATAGCGATGTACATGACTTAAAAGCAGAAGTGGTTTTCACTGTTAACACTCCTGTTTTTTAAATAAAAATTGAAGTTTCATTTATAGTTAAGTCATAAAGAAAAGCCACTTTTGGAGATTTCAGAAGTTGCAAATTATTTCACCAGATGCCCATATATAATAAACTAGACTGGGAAAAATAGTGTACAGTTGTGGAAGAAAACTGGCAATACTATTAAATTAATTCTGGCTAAGGGTTCAGTGATATTTAAATCAGACTACAAGAAAAACAGCACACTAATTCCTGCTGAAGTTTCCAGGGACGGAGCTCAACAAACCAGCCATACTCTGTCCAATGAAACTGAATTCTGATAAGGCAAAACATGACCCAATTTAGCTCCTCAATCTTCCTGTGCTTGATCATCAAAACTGGTTTCTGACCCTACATGTGATGTTCAGTGGATTACAACTAGGCTTAAAAAGAAGTTGCTTAGAAATATAACATGGAAAGTGAAATTATTTAATCATAGAACAGGAAGAAGTAGTGGTCTGGGCAGAAGGAAGTGCAGTCCCTAAAACAAGGCCAAAAAAAAAAAAAAAGCAGGTTACAAAAGACAGTTTACCCAAAAATGTTATTGGGAAATAAACCGTTTCATAATTAACCTCCTTTCAGGTGCCGTATGTGCAACATGGTAGCTGCCACAACAAAAGTAGGATTCTTATTTTAAATTAAAAAAGCAGCATGAGTAGGAGTTAAAAATCCACTCAAGTGGTTTGCTGAGTGAGTAATGGCTGACTTGGGGATAGTATCAGCTGCTCAATATCCTAGAAACCCTTTCAGATTTTTAATTGAAAGCTGTATGACTAGGGTGACCATATGTCCTGGTTTGGCCAGGGCACTTGCACATTCAGTAGGCTGGTCCCAGGTACGTGGTCAAAAGGCCCCAGCCAGAGTCTGGCAGGGAGTGGAGAGGCATGATGCACTGGGCAGGCTGCAAGGACATGCTACATGCAGGCGGGGAGGAGCCTGCTCCAGTCTGCCCACATTGCTCCTGCAAAGTGGCAGTGGTGCCTGTCTGAACACCTGCCCGGTGCACCATGCCGCTCTGCCTCCCTGCAAGACCTTGGCCCGTGACTTTTGACCAACCGGCCAGGACTAGCCTCCCAGCCAGACCAGAACAAACGGTCACCTTATATATTACACATTTGGCTCCAAAACTTCAGCATTCCATGTTTCCTAAATGTTTAAGATGAGTCATAGGAACATCTACACAGAATTACAGTTTTTAGTATTTTAGGAGACATGGAAGCTCACAGCTTGTGGCAGAAGAATGTATAACCATTTATGACAAGCTGAATAATCCAAATAGTAGTACAACTGTTTAAAAAGTTGAAATTCTTGGACAGTACTGTCATCCATATGCTTCTGACAGACAAACTGCGTTGCACTGCACACATACTTCAGGTTTACCCATTTAAAAAGTAATAAAATAAAGCTTTCAAAGAGTAATTCCAGGATTTGAAAAAATTAGTAAAACTAATTTTGTACAAGCTAGTTATATCTTCAGGTTGAGAGTTGGGATACAATTCTCATCACAACTATTTTATCAATAACTCTGCCACTTACCATCATGTCTAATGCAACTTAGCAGATGCAGCCACATTACCTCACGCTGCTTTAAAGAACAGATTATCCTGTTGCTCAATTTTGCTGTTAATAACCATTACTTGTTTGTATTTTGGGGAAGGTGTAATACAGTCTGAGCAACTGCACTCAGTAGTTCAGATACTCACAGCTTTTACTTTCTTCTTCTTTAAGGCAAAAAGGCAATAATGGATTAATATGCTGCAATTTCTGTGCCAAAATCACATGGATTCTGGGGACTAATGAGGCAGGAGGACTGTGTACTCTCTGTTCTTCTGCTGTATCCATGCATTCCATAGGATCAAATAGTGATGAGGAGCTCTCCCTAGTAAATGAGACAATAAAGCCAAGCTTATGTGAATTCTATGCGAATTCTGCCAAAACTGCAATACACAAAGACAAGTAACATATATTCTCAGCTTCATCTTACTGAAAGATATATTTAAGCTATCAGAATTTATCATCTTTCCAATAAGATGTTTAATTAAAAACTGCAGGAATTAAAGAAGTCATAACAATGAAAATCATAACAATTTACAACTACAATTTATGACTACTTAATTAGATTCAAACAAAAATATACTGTTAGTTTTCTGAAAATACTTTGGAATTTGTAAACATCTCAGTTTTGTGAAGTAAATTTACCCCCACCTGATCATGACATCACCAAAATGAGAGCTGTAAAACATTCTCCATGGTAACAAATTTCTGTTGAGCAAATAAATGTTAAGTGCAACAACTATGTTACAAGTCTACGAAGGTACATGTGTATTGTTTTAGAGTTCCAGATTTTCAGTCTTGGACATTTTTTTATAATCACAGAACATGTAAATTAAAACATTTTCCAACAGGGGTCCTAAACCTATACTCGAATGGCTATTTCAAGGGATTAGAGAACAATCCAGTCATGCTTGTTCAAACACTGGCATCTCTGAAGAGGCCTTAAATAGTTTGATTCATGGGGCTGGGGGTTCAGGTATGTGTTTAAACAGGTGTCAACTCTGCAACCAGAATAAGATTAAGACAAACACCTTATGGTAACAATCTTCAGATAGTACCGACTACATCAGCTTTGTACTGATGGTACAAAAGTGATGGCTCACTGCTCCTTACTTGGGGCAGTTGCTAACTAAAAAGGCCAATACCACCTTTTTCTCCTTATACTTAATTCAATGACTGTAAAGTTCAAGATCCTTGCTGTATTCCATTTTGTGTATTTGAAAAATGACCAAGAACAGAAAAGTTTTGTGATGAGGCACGTTGAACTAACACTAGTGTTAAGCTACCATCAGACAGCTGATTAGCAGAGACAGCTGACTGTGCTGAGTTACTTTTAGAAGCTTGTCTGGCACTACACAGATTCAAACTGCAGTTATCAGTGTAACAAACAAAAAGGAAAAATAAAAATTGCACGGAGAATTAACACATTCAAAAAGACAAAGATTCAGAAACTTGTATCAGTAGTACAGGACTTGCAACCTATGCAGTCCAATATCCTGTCTCTGGAAAGTGAGTGGCAAAACATTATTCTGGGATGGTGGAAGTGAGGGGACCCAGAAGAAATTTAGGCCAAAAATTATAGAAAATTGTGACCTACTAAGTGATTTTTGTCCCCTAGAATCCCACCAGTTACTGATTGGTATAATACAAGGTTCTATATACCTTCCATTTTTTTAAAATCCCATCTAATCTAACTGGACATTTTTGTTTTCCATGCAGATGTCCAATTCATGTTTTTGGATCTGTAAAAACATGATAAAATATTCTGTGGAGCTAATTTCTACAGATTAAGATTTCTTCTTTAAAAGGATGCGTACTTATTTTAGTTGTAATCTAAGTTTAATTGGTCATCCCTTTATTGTGTTATTGATGAGAAAGGAGAGAGCATCTGCTATAACTCCTTTACATCAATTATTATTTTATATATTTCCTCTCACATGGTCTTATTTCCTTTCTACACCAGAGAATCATAATAGTTTCACTCACCTCCTATGGAATGCCATTCATGCCTCTAACCAAGTAATCCTCCACCTGGGGACTGTGAGTGTCTTAACGGTGCCACAGGATGCATACAATATTAGCACTGTTGTGTGGGCAAACATGATTCACAAGAGATTCCAAATAGGAATCCATAACATCAAAAACATCCTGACCTGCTGCAGTCTTTCTGAGTTCTTCACAGCAGCCGAATTGCTTTATTATTTTTTTCTGTAGTCAAAAAATGAGTGAAAGCTAAGAGCTGGCATTTTTTGAGGGATGTCTCAACTCTAACCAGGGGTATCCAGCACCTAAAAAGGTTGAGAACCACTGCTGTATTTTCACTGCTCTTCTGTTCAATCCTTCTCTATTTCTGCTATACTGTTAAAAGGTTATATAATAACTATTACAGCTTTAATCCATTTTTCTCAGTCTAGTTCTATGGATCATCTAGCCTTTTCTATTTTGAGAGAGAGACTGACTGCCCTTTAGCATAGGACCTATATTGAATGAAAGATTGTTTGCTTGAATTAGTTTGGCCACTGTTGTTTTTTGCTCAACTCTTGGATGAACTCAAGCTGCTCCCTCTTCTTTTTTAGTTTGTTCCAGCACCAAATATTGACCCCTTATTTTAACAGTGCTTCATCCTTATTACCTGAAAAGCATAATTATCTCCCCAACATCCTCCAAGATGAACAGCAGTGTAGAAAAAACAGTTTAGCTTCATCATCAAGTCCTTATTCTTCTTTCATTGCTCTCTAGACATACCAATTCTTTTCCAGGCTTCCTGCTTCTGATACATTTAAATATGGTGGCTTTGTCTTCAGTTGTTCTCAGAATGATCTTTTAGCTATACAGGTTTCCATCTTGCTTTACTTCTCAGTTACCATGAACTGAGAAGTGTTCCAATCCAGAATACAAAGAAATGCTTGACATTTAACTTAGCTTAATGATTACAGAACTAAAAATTGAGGCTTACTTAGCTAGCTAGATCACAAAGGAAACCGGATGTTCAAAAACAAGTCTTTCCTCCTGGGCTGAATTAAGCGGGAAAAATGAACTAACATTTCAGCTAGAAGTGGCATCCCTTTTTGGTTTGAGGCACACTGAGGCAATGTGTCCCTGCAATACTGATTTTGTGGACAGAGGACTTCAACTTACATGGCTCTGAATCCAGCACCTTTCCCAAGCATCAAGCTCAACTTGAGGAAAAAAGCATCTTTGGACAATGCTCTGACAAATGGCTCTTTCATTTCAGTTTTTAGGGCAGAACATTTATATACATTGTGCATTTTCAATTATAATCCCTACAAGTCTGGATCTCAGCCTTACCTCTCTTCATTGTTCACTATGCTTAGCACTGGATCCACAGACAAAATGCCATATACCTCTAGAATATCATTGACTTTGAAACTATCCCAGCTCTCATAGACCTGCCAAAACAAAAAGAGTGTGATAAAACAAACAGGAGACAGAGCAGAATGACGCATTAAGACTCATTAAAACTATATTCTTTTCCATTAAGACGTGGGCGTCAAACATATGGCCATGGGCCAGATCCAGCCCACAGAGCCCTGCCATCTGGCCCTGCGGTGCTGTTCCTGATTTTGATCAGACCCACACAGGACAGTGTTTGCCTGTGGTGCAGGATTGGTCTCCAGGCCAGATCTGGCTCACAGACTGTCTCCCCTTCTCCTTGCACACCTGATCTAGCAGCTACTCCATATGGTGTGGGACCCACACTGTGTGCGACTTGGATCCCAGAGTAGTCAGAACAGGCATCACGTGTGCTACAGTCTGGCCAAAGAAGCAGCCACTTCGCATGCAGCGGCTGCCCTGGGCAGACTGCAATACATGCAATGCCTGTCCAGGCATCCAGGACCCGCGGTGTGTGTCACAGTCCAGTTGGGGTGGCTATTGTGTGCAGCACAGCTACTGCTCTGGCTGGATTGTGCCACACATGGTGCCTGTTCTGGCTGTTCTGAGATTTGCACCACCCACAGCACAGGTCCCAGACTGGGTGGAACAGCTGCTGGATCAGATATGCTGGGGAAGGGGGGAGGAAGAGGGTGCCTGAGAGCTTGACCGGGCCCGTGGACTGGCCCCAAGCCGCTTATCCAGCCTGTGGGGGCAGATGAATTTGACACCTCTGCATCAAGGGATTCAGTTCTAACTGCAGAAAGACTGCCTAATATTAAAACACAGATATAACGAAGGGACTTTATTCCTCACTTTCAAACTCATATTATGCATCAATTAATAAAAAGCTACTTTAAATGCAAAAGTGAAATGCAAGCAATGCATTGTTCCCCCCTTGCTCCATTACATTTCTCCCCATCTCTTCAGAGAGGGCCCCAGCTCCAACATATTCAAGTACCATGAGTCAAGATCATCCTTATGCTTGGGCATTTCAAATGACAAGAATTTTGTTTTTGCCAAGTACAGCTGTGAATAAATGTGCTACAACACCTATCAGCATTGACGTCAGCACCTCTAAAATCCCTTATTGGTAATCAAGGGAAACACAGTTCAGAAGTTATTTATGGAAACAGCATTACATTTTTGGGTGGAAAACAGAAGTTAGGAGGTGGCAAAATATTTTTGTCTAAGTTAACGTAGCGTCTTAACAATAACTACTCTGCTTTCAGGGTTCTCACTTCCTTCTCTCATGTATCCCCTCAGTGAGGCAATCACCCTTTTGATCTAGTTACCTTTACGAGACATGCAGGGCCTTTCTCTCCTGGTAGTGGGAAGTTTAGATCAAGTGGAGGGGAGCAGTTTGGGGAAGTCAGATGATGTCCTGCGGAAGCTTCAGTTTCTAATCGCTTTGGCTCTCCACACCCATGGATATCACCTACACTCCCTGCAACATGAAGGAATGACAGCTTTCCACAGCTTGATCAAGCACAAAAACTAAAATAAGCAACATGCACTCCTTCAGGGAGCAATATAAGGCAAGCTGAATCAGTAAGGAACCCTGAAGAAGCACTAATAAAGACATTGCTTTGGAAGCAGTAGTTTCTCCTACTCATTTAATTGTCCCTTTTGGAAGGGAGAGGTGTGTACTTCCAGTGATAAATACGAGCACCATGACGACTCCATGATGGCCTAGTTGTAAAAATCTGCATGTCTTAAACACATACAGGTTTCCCTTGCTTTTTGTGGTAATGCATTCCTGAAAAACCGCGCATGCCTCAAATTTGCATAAAGGGAACCCACTTTACAAAGTAACAAATAGGGATAGGGTACAAGACCTCAACTGCATCAGCAGCAGGTAAGTCTGCAGGAGCTGGGACAGTTCTGGGCTTTTCCTGGCGGGGGCTCAGGTGGGCCAGGCCAGGCCAGGCTGCACTGCACTCAGGGTGGTGGCGCTGGGAGGGGGTGGGCTGCAGCCGCCCCAAAATTCACCATAGCCTCCCGCTGAGCACCGCCGCCACCTGCCCCAAGCGCAGCGTGGCACATCCCCTGTACTGGGAAGAGCCTGGCCCCAGGGCTGCAGTGAGTGGGGCCTCCATCTGTGTCGTCCCCCCACCCCCCCCACAGTGTGAGGGGTGGAGTGGGGCTGGGGCAGGCACTGCATAGCCAGGGCAGGACGCAGAGTGCAGCTCCTGCTGCTACAGGGTGGGGCTTAGGGCCACACTAAGCTCCTTCTGGAGGTGGGTTAGGCTATGCTGAACTCGGGGCAGGTAGCGGCAGTGCTGGGAGGGGGGCTGGGGGAGCTACAGCAAATTTTGGGGTGGTTGCAAGAACCGCCCCCACAGTCCCCCTCCCAGTGCTGCCACCGCCTGCCCTGCGCACAGCCCAGCCCCCACACGGAAGAGTCTGGCTTGGCAGCCCGTAGCAGCAGGAGCCACACCCCCTGTCCCATTCCCTACCCCAGCTGTGCAGTGCCTGCCTCTGCCCCAGCCCTGCTCGCTCACCACCAGTGGGGGGGCAGGTCAAGGCCCCACTCACCTCAGCCCCTGCTCCTGCCTGTGCTCTACTCCCTCCATCACTGCTGGGGCCTTGATCTGCCCCCCGCACCACTCCATAGCCCTCTCCCCTCCCCGTACAGATTTACCTGCTGCCGACCACATAAGGGTGAATTTACCTCTCATAGAACAAATTTTGGGTATAAAAAGGGTCACTGCATAAGAGACCCACATACTCAACCCACATACAGCGAGGGAAACCTGTAGTCAAATCAGAATTCCTTGGCTTCTACTTAGATGTCTATTTAAGCATTGTATTTTACAGACTTCAGAAGAGCCCTAGTAATGATCCATTTTGCAAAAGAGGTTTCTTTTTTTTCCTGAAAGTTTAACTTGTTCTTAAACAACTTACCAGTTAGGAATCTCTTGATTTGCTGTAATAAGGCAACTATTTAAAAGCCATGCTGTTGTTGTTTTGTCTTCACATGTGAGCTAAGCAAACTGAAGTACCGTATGTATTCAAAATATAATACACCTTCAAAAAAACAGTAAACTACTAGAAAACAAACATTTAAAGCCTTAAAATCTGACAGATAAACTGACTGAAAAATAACACTAAACAAAATTTTAAGTAACACCTTCTGTGAACTTGATTATTATTTTTAAACTAACCTCTTCCTCTTCAAACAACAAACAAACAATTCATTCAATTCCATGTAGGAACCAGGTACTAAGGCAAGGAACATTCTTACCTGTTTGTGAATGAGTAGGATGTGCACAGAAACCCGATTAATTCTTTCTAACATAGACTAATTTTAGAAATACAGTGCCACCCTCTACTTTAAAATCCTATTTTACAAGTTGGGAAACAGAAAAGGAGAGAAATTAAGGGACAGTCTTGATGTCAAAAAAGAAGTCTGTGGTAGAGCTGAGAAGTAAACCAGATTTCATGAGGCCCAACCCAATACTTAAAGTTTCTTTTGTTTTTATGCAGCAATCGCTAATCTACTTGGGTGGCCTTGAAATATTAGTTTTTAGGAAGCATCAGCAGCAGCATGTGTGCTATAAACCCCCCCTTTTTGTTGGCTCTTGCAGGTCCTCAAAGTTAAAATGTTATCTATCTGTCTCAATTGTGGGTACGCAAAGGGCATTTATATGCATGCATTTTTGCCCTGTGACACCACAAATCCACTTCAGAGCAGACTTGATTAATCGAGTTTGCTCCACACACAAGCTGATGCGAACTGCGCTGCATTGTGTGCAGTTGTATAAGTGGCGAAATGTGCGTCAGCGCACAGAAAATGGCAGCGGTACACTTTTGAACTAAAACACCTCTGATGTGTTTAAGTTCAAGAGTGTGCTGTTGCCATTTTCTTAGTGCTGATGAGCATTTCGCCGCTTATACAGCTGCAAGCAATGCAGTGCCAGGCACTTTTCAAAGCGCCCCACGCTGCGCCGCTTGCATCTATAAAAATGCCCATACTCATTAGCACAGAAGTAAAAAGCTCCATCAACCCTACTGGCTCACCCAGACAAAGTCCAAAGTGTTAATTCCAAAAAGTTACTGTAATGTCCAATCATGAATATAAACTGTTACCCATGTGCTGCTCTTTCTGTTTAGATGGATGTAGCTCCATATCTTCATCTTCCTCATAACTCCTCTTGTGGCGACTTGGAGTATATGATGTTGAAGGACTAACTCGAGCCTGACTTGCACTAATATATGCGTAAAATGAAAAATTAAGGACAATACCATACCAAGGGAAAAGTCACACAATGTGTTTCATTTGCCAGATACTAAATTACCTGCTCTTATTTGGAAATATATTAGAATAAAAGGTAGCAAGTTGTACTTTGATGCTGTCCACCAAGGCTTATTTAAGTTTACTTATTAGCCATTTTCCTACATAGTGAGTCCACATTTTAGCTGAGAACAGAGTCCAGATTGCTAACTCTTATGGTACAAACAGATGTCGCCGTTATCTGCCCCAAAATTTGCTATGGCGGCATACGTTGCAAGCAAACAGACATCCCCTGCCCTTTGTCATACTCCAATTGCTTAACAATGTGCACGACCCCTTATTTGGGAGGACATCCTCGCTTACTGCATGACTCAGGAATTACCATGCAAGGGATTTCCAGGGCATGTTCCACACTGCTGTGCCCTGATCTAGAGGAACCTCTGCTTCACACGGCCACACCCCGATCCATGGGAGTTTCTCCACCTTCAAGGGGTCAGGGAATGCATGCCCTGAGGTAGGGTAGGGCACACCTGGGGCCACTGTCCTCATGGGGGCATGTGTTTCACACTGCCATACCCTGACTCTTAAGAGAGATTATGGGAAAACCCTAGTTGAAGACATGCCTCTCAGGTCAGGGCATGGCACCCAAAGCTGCTGTTCTACAGGAACTGGCCCTTGAAGCCCTGAGAAGCAGATGCCTGATCCTGTGGGACAACAGCCCTGGCAACATCTGGTTTTTGCTGATCAATCAGATCTGATGCAGAAACAAAATAACATCTATTTGAAGTCTTAGGTACCCATCCAATCTCTAGAAAGCAATCAAGTCCAAACACTAGGTTCATAAATTTAAACAACCCCCCCACAAAAAACTCTAACAATTCTTCCCCCCTCCACCCTCAGAGATTAAATCAGAACACTGGAGATTTTTTTCTCTTTCCTATATTTCCACCCTGCCATGGATCGGGGTGTGGCAGTGTGAAGCAGAGGTTCCCCTAGATCAGGGCACAGCAGTGTGGAACATGTCCTGGGAATCCCCTGCATGGTAATTCCTAAATCATGCAGTAAGCGAGGATGTCCTCCCAAATAAGGGGTCATGCACATTGTTAGGCAACTGGAGTATGACAAAGGGCAGGGGACGTCTGTTTGCTTGCAACGTATGCCGCCATAGCAAATTTTGGGGCAGATAATGGCGACATCTGTTTGCACTATAAGAGTATCAGATATACTTTATGTATTTTCAGTCTTTAAAAGTGTTACTACCTGGTACATTTAAAGTAGCATTGTTAACTTAAACATCTCAGAGAGCATTTCAGAATAACTTAGGCTAATAACGATGTTAGTCGTACTTAAAACTGAACTTTAAAAAATCTCATTTACATTTACTATTTATGATTCTTTTGCATTTCTCTCAACTTGACAAGTGAGCAAACTGAATCAGTTTAATTTTTCTATGGTGTAATTCACTTTCAAGTTTTCACTGAAAGGTTGTAAACATGACAGGGACAAGAAACCCTGCATTCAAATAGAACATTTTCCCCTAGAAATGTATAAAAATAATAGAAACCTCTCTACTGATGTTCACTTTTTTTTTAATGTTTTGCTTTTTAAGGCCAAATGCTGAAACTAATTTTAAAACAAATTCTTAAGTCAAAATCAGAGGTGTCAAGATTAACAAGATTAACTATTGATTTGTCTATCATTTTTTTAGAATGCAAACTAGCTTAAATGTTTTAATTCCCCCTACCCACACAGAAGGAAGACATACATAACATTATCCAAAAAAAGTATTGATAAGCTGAAATTCTACCAACTGTTCTGCATAGTCCAACATCTGCTTGCAAGAAAGAAAAACTGAGGTTGATTTATTTTCTAACACATTTGCTGGACTGGTTTAGGAAAGGACAAACCACACCTCAACTTCTTCAAAATATGCTCCTTGGAGAACTCAGATTTCAAGGAAGGTTAACTTGCCATGTTACCACAGCATGACAGTGCATCCCTATAGGTGCTTTATAATATTATTAGATGCCCCCATTAGATACTGTAGTCCCAATTTATTCAGAGAAACCCAAGTGGAACATAAACCAGTATAACAACTATTGTAAAACTACTGACTTTAAATATTCCTTGTTCACTCTGAGGCATTTCAACATAGCAAAGTTAGTAGTTACACGACAACTGAAATTTATGGATCAACCAACAAGGGGAATATCAACCGATAGGCATGTCATGTGGTATTTTTTAAACATTTTCAAATAGAGACCAACAACAATAGTCAACCACTTTGTGCCCATCCATTTGAAAATCTTGTGCCCAAATATTTCCCTAAATAGCAAAGAAGGCCCCCAAATCCATATCTTCATTCATCTGACATACAGTATTCCAAAGCTTTTCATTTTAAGACAGTTAGCCATTATCATCAAAATTTCCCTTTCACCTCAAAATTGAAGATATTTTAAATATACTGTTTACTAATAAAAAATTGTATACTATATCACAAGCTTGCCAAAAGATATTTCTTTCACCCATGCTGACTCTCCAGGCACTGGAACGCAGTAGAAGGTCTGTCTCTCTGAAGTGACTGTTTGTGAAGAATTTAAATCTATTTCCTGATGAGGCTAGGATATCAATAATAATGATAGAAATGTTAAAAAAACAAAAATAAGGTCATAGTCTTAAGTCAGTTCTATAGACAGAAAAAATAAGATGTATGTTCTTAGTCGTGAGTTACAAGTTGGCATCTGAAGTCTCAAACTATTTCCGTGCTTTATAGCATGCAGACTGATTTAAATTCTTGTAATATAACTCCACGTTTAATCTCCAGTAGTTCTCATGGGATATTCTTTCAGGACGTATTTTGCCAGTGGCCCAATTTCTTGGTAAAGAATCACTGGCTGAAATATTAAAGGCTGATCACATATAAACAGCATCAGTAAGTGACACTAATTTAAAGTAGAAATAGACATATCTTGCAACTGCTTCAGGAAAAATTCTCTGCTCCCCAAACCTGGAACTCATCTAAATCCCCAAAGTAGTATTTCTAGGAGTCAAGGTGAAGGATTCCAAAATAATTAATGTTACACTTATATAGTTTAAAGACAGGAAATGGCTTGCCAAGGACAAAGAGTTAGCATAACTCTTGAGCCCCTTGATCTTAGAAGTGCACCAATATATCAACTGCATATTGGATTGGCACCGATAACAGGAAAACTAACATTATCAGCAATCGTTTTTTTTTTTTGGCTGGTAATGTTACCGATAAATGCCACGTGCAGCGACAGCACGCATGCGGCCACAAATGCAGCCCAGCAGTTTGCAGAGCAGTGCCTGATCAGTAAGTTTGTGTTGGAGGAAAAGGGTGTGTGTGGGGTGGGGGACAGATCAAGGCCTCCACAATGAGAGAAGGAATGGGACAGGTGCTGCCCAGCCAGGGTGGTGAATAGGACCCTGGGGCTGGGAGTGGGATGGAGCTGTGGGCGGCCTGTCCAGTGGGCGAAGGGGGGGGGGGGGGGGGGGGCGGGGGGGGGCCTGTCCAGGGGGGGGAGGGGGGGGGGGGGGTGTGGGGGGGGGCGTCGCGGGGGGGGGGGGGGGGAGAGGAGGGGGGGGGGGGGGTGTAGAGGGGGGAAGGGGGGGGGGGGGCAGCTCCTCACTGCTGTGCACACCCCCAGAGGAGGCATGGGGGGCATGTGCCTCTCCCCCCACCCCCAACTTGTGCATGGGGCAAGGGCGGGCTGCCTGCTGCAGGCTCAGGGCCAAGAGCTGCATCAGCCTCTTCCTGGCAGCAGGGCTGGGCTGAAGCTGCGCTCAGGGAGGACTCAGCTGCATGGGGTGGGTGGTGGCACTAAGAAAGACAGTGCTGTGGGGAGCTTAGGGAACAATAGCCACCCCAAAATTCCCCATACCCACCCCTTCCAGTGCCGCTGCCAACATCCACCCCATGCAGCTGAACCCTCACTGGTCCTGCCCCCTTGCCTGGAAGAGGCTGGCACAGCCCCTGACCCCAAACCCACAGCGGGAAGCCTACCCTTGCCCCACGCACAAATCTGAGCGGGCACACTCCCTTCGGGGTGCATGTAGTGGTGGGGAGCCACCCCCCTCTACACCCCACTGTGGCTGCATCCCACTCCCTGCCCCGGGGTCACATTCACTGCCCTGGCTGGACAGTGCCTGCCCCTACCCACTCCCTCCCTCAGAGTGGGGGGCCTTGATCTGCCCGCTACCCACCTTGCACCACCCCCCAGACTTATTGGCAGGATGCTGCTCTCTAAGCTGCTGGGCTGCAATCCTGTAAATTGAAGAAAATGATCATCTCAAATTAAATGTTTCAATTTAAACATTTAACTCTAGCATTTATACAAGTATCACTTACCCCACATTCTGCTACATCTCTATATTTACCAAAATGCAAAACCTGTAAAACAGAAAAACCATAGTTATGTTGCTTCCAGCATCCTGAATTACATAAATGACTAGTGCGAACAGAAAAAATGCAGTCTGAAGTTTTTCCAAAAAACCCACCTGTATAAACTTGTCCTGTTTCAAGAATTTAAAAGGGAGAGAGAATGATCTTTTAATTCCCGTGGATTTTACATGCAATAACAGTTCCGCAATTGTATCTACTTGTAACAGATCACAACCAAAAAAAGAACAAAATGGCACATCCTCAATGTGAACTAACACATATAAACTGGATTAATATTGTGATCTTTTGGGTAAGTAAAAGGTTCAGCTAAGTAGGCAGAGAAGCACAAAGACTTGAATTAGGGAAACAGTAAACTTTTGTCTTAGTAACGAATCTGTGTTCTACTTACACGTGTCCTGGTATTTGTGTCAACTGTTTCATAAACTCCCATGTAAAATTCTGGGTCAAACATATCTTGAACCATGCAGCGGAATTTGACTAAACTGTTTGGCTTCAGGTAATGCAAAGGGACATCATTCAATGATGGAACCTTTAAGAAGCATGAACAAGCCTCAAATTAATATTTAAAAAAGCCTCACATTTTTGTACTAGTTGTTCAAGATAAAAATCATGGGTAAAGATAGATACTGCAAAAATACTTCCACATATGTCAATTCACTATGGCAGCTCTTGCTATTCACTTATTTGTCTCAAGCACTCAATTAATGTAAGAGCAGTAATGAATGGACAAGGATAATTGATACGTCATCTATTAACTTTAAGATTTTTTGGTCATTTTACCTCATCTATTGTCTTACCCAAGACTGTTTAAGGAGTCATATTGCTTTCTGAAACTTTTGTAGATACTGCTATAAGTGACAGATAAGATTAATATAAAGAGACAGACAAAATAATTTCCCTATTTTGTTTTGGTTGATTTATCCATCTGAAAGCAGTTTGCTTATAGCAGTTCAGTAACTGGAATGTCAGGTGCACTCTTATGTTGCTGTTCCCTACCGTTTGAAAAAGGGGCTCATCCAAAAGTGCAGTAAAACTAGAAGTGTAACTGAAGAGTGTGGAAGGCAAGTTCAGAAAGGGACTGGACCAACTTTTGGCAGTGCTGTTATTGGTCACTGTCCTCCTTCCCGCCCATTCTAATGGGGGAATCAAACAAGCCTTTACAAACCCTTTCAACGAATGTTAATGAAATATGTTTTATCAATTTATTTAAATTAACTGGTTTTAAAACAAAATCAAGTTGACATCTCTTCGACTAAATTTTATTTTCAAATGACATCCTACTGAATCAGGTTCAGCCCCAGCTCATTCTTGCACTATCTGATATTACCCACTTAATATAAAATCTCCTCTTTCTTGTGCATTTTAAGACTGACCCAGGAAAAAAAAAGAAACTGGTAAGTGTCGCATTCTTCATCTCACCAAATTTGTCTGGCTTTCTTCTGGTCAGCACAAATTTAAAGTTTCACATACTGTCGGATACACAGAAGACATTTTTCCAAATCCTTACTTTTTGACAAGGAAAAAAACAACTAGGAATACTGTAATAAGCAACATGAAAGAGCCACTGCCATCTCACATCAAAACAAGCAAACACCTTTCCTGGTACTCAAAGCATTCACACTTTCAAAAGAAACATGGAGGGCATGCTTCAAGGTAATGGAAGCTTATCTGTACAGGAAACGACCATGGGAAAAGACAAGCGCACTGCTTGTCCAGGCAACCAATCTCCAAATTACTGAAATAACAGTACTGTACACCTTTCATTCAAAGTCTATTTGATTTTCTGAATCAGTTATTAACTGCATTGTCATATTGGGGCAAAACACACTCAATGTGAAGTATAGTTACTAGAATTACAATCATATAAAAATGGTAACCACTGACTGAACATCCACAGCATAGCATTCACATCTTTTTTTTTTTTTTTTAGTAACTGTGTCCAACTTAAAGTTTAACTCAGGGGTCCCACACAGCTGTATAGGACAGGAAAAGAAAGATTTTATTCCATCCCAGGTATTATAAATGCCTAGCAGTTCAGTCTGTTAAAAATGCAATTGGTGATAAAGTTTTAGTTACAAAATGTTTTTTTCCTTGAAGCACAAGATTCTTGGTTCTCAATGTGTTTTGATATTGGGAAAATACTTGTGTTTGTTGTTGTGGTTTTCTTTTTACTGATAAACTGAACATATTTAACTTGAGGGCTAAGAAATCCAGAATTCCATAATGTCATTTTTATAGTCATCCTTCAGAGTAGACCAACAATTTTGGAATCAAGCTTACTTTTTCTTGTATTTGAAGATCCAAGTACATATTAGCTGCCCAATCTTTGAATACAGAATAGGGGCTTGGACTTACATAACATGGTATAGTTTGTAGAAGATTAAAATAAATGATCTCTCTCAACCAAACTAAAATATGAAATTTAACAACTATTTCTTCAATCATTTAAAGCATCAAAAGCTGCAAAAGATCATATAACCTGATCAGTTTAAAAGTGCTAAGCCAGAAACTTCTGGTATACACTTATTTATCTCTAATTTTAGACTAGCCAGGGCAGATTTTTATACCTTAACAAATACATTGCAGATGATTGCATTTGTCAGCTACTGCCACCTAGTGGATCATAGTACAAAGTACACTGAAGTCAACTGCATTAGTTTCAAAAGACTTTGGATCAGGATCTTACACTTGTTTTTTGCACAGATTTTTCACATTTCAGTGACTTTGCAGGTAAGCCAAATGTTCAGTGTCTTCTTCAGCCTGGTATCAGCAAGTTCTAAAAGTGAAAAACCTGGCAAACAATACATCATCATCACTGATGCAAAAGGAAGGAAATTTAAGGAAAGACTCCTAAACAATCTCACCCAGTTAGTTGCATTATTTTCTTTTAGTTTCTCTCTGAAGTATTCAGTTACTTTTTTCTCCCATTCAGGATTTGGACCACTTTGGGCTAGAAAAAAAACAAAAAAAGAACTGTATTTAGAAAAGCAACTGGACAGTACTTTGGAGTTTTATGTACCACTCTGAACTGGAGTGAACCAAACACAGTTTGGCAAGGTAACAACATTTTTATGGGAGACTTATTCCTGCACACGTGCACATTATGACAATTTTAAGACCACGTCTTCCTCTGTCTCTTAACTATAACAGCAACCACCACTGCCTAAGTGAGAAAAGGCTCAAGAACTCGGGACTACAAATACGCCACAGACCAGCAGGCAAGGAGGGGGTGAATCAGTCACCTTTCCTACTTTTTGTGCACACACGGTCACATTTTTGGAAAGTCTGTTTCAGCACAAGTGCTTTTCTAGAAAATAAGAAGCCATACATGGATTAATACCAAGTGCAGGATTGGCAAAGCTTTGTCTGTTGGAATGAATAGCGGGGAACCGTAACAAGATCAAAATGCAGAACTGGCAGTGAATGAACTCAGCAAGGGTTTTGCCACATTTTAAAGGTCCCAAATGCATGAGCAGAGTTAAAAGTTCCATTTTCAAAATAGTTTCTAACATTGTTTGGTTGGATAAAACCACAACATAATAGACTAGCATTTCTGATTCCAGACAGGAAGATATTTCTGACACTTCTCCCTACTTGCTTGCTGACCTTATACAAACCTCAAGTTGGTGTGAAACCCAGTGCAGATGGGGTATCAAACCATGCATATGCGCCTTAAGAAGTCCCTACATCTCTCTCAGATAGCCGCACTTCCCCTTGCATCTCCGTGCCATCTACCTCTGAGGTGCAGAAGCCGTGGCTAGCTAGCTGTTCTCAACCCCCTTCTCGGTACACCTCGCAGGGTGCGGATAGACACACACTTTACATGCCAGGATCCTACAACATGGACAGATGCAATAAATTTGAACCCTAAGATCCTAGATGCACGTGCAACTTTTGACTGGCTTCAATTTCCTGGAACATTTTAAAAGCACCTTGGGAAAACCAAGTATGATTTTGAGCCAGTCCTCCCTGAACTGGTTCAGCGTTAGGTGTGGACACAGAGCACTCTGTGCCTAACGTCGATCAGCTCTCCAGCATCCCAAACCGCACCACTCCTCTCAGGGAAGGCAATGGGGCTGCTCTGGAGCGCGGCCAGGACACTCCTGCCCAAAGGTCTATCTATTGCTTGCAGAGATCACAGTCCGCAGGTGTTTCGGCGGGGGGACCGGACAGAAAGCCTCCACATCAGTTTTGCTTCCCTCCTTGGAAGTGGGCAGGGGGTCTCAGGCTTATTTGAGGGGGAGTGGAGTCCGGGTCTGGAGGAAGAGAGGGACTGGGCAGCCCGCTGCTGGCAGTGGGTGCACGGCTGCAACTGTAATAGTAAAGCTCAGTCAAATGCTGGGTAACAGGGAGGAGGAGACCGAGCCGTTGCACAGCGGGTGCTTAACAGGGCAGGATGGGATGGTGGTCAAGACTCACTGCACAGCAGGCACTTAACTAAACAGGACAGGATGGGGCAGGACGGCGGTCAGGTCCCTGCCCCGTGTGAAGCGCATCAACCCTTCGGTGCTCCGGTGCAGCCGGGGTCTGCACACACCGACAAGCCCAGAAGTGGCTTGCAGCCAAGCACCCCCCCGCACTGCAAGCGCCGAGCAGACGCCGCCCCGGGCAGCCCGCTGCATGAGGCCGAGACCGGGAGAAACCCCCCGCCCCACCCTGCAGCCAGGCCAGGCCAGGCCAGGCCAGGCCAGGGAAACTGAGGCACCTCCCACGCCGGGCCGGGCCGGGCCCATGGCAGCCGCTGCCGGCACGAGGCCGCCCCGCTCACCGAAGAGGCCCTGCACGAGGCGCAGCGGGCTGTTGAGCCAGTCGGCCACGCACGGCATGTTGCAGGCGGGCAGGAGCGCACGGAGCCCACCACCGTCGCCACCAACTTCCTGCCTCCCGCTACGGCAATGGCGGCGGGGAAGGGCCCCGCCCCGGGCGTGAGGCGCTGAGGCCGGAGCCGCCATCTTGGAGCCGGGCAGCACTGCGGGCGGAAGGGGCCGTGGACGCGGTGGCGCTCGGGGACGTGGACGCGGAGGCGGAGGCGGACATGGCGGCCGCCAACCCCCCCGGGGCTGGTGGCACCAACTTGCTCTTCTCCTCATCCGCCACCGAGTTCAGCTTCGCCGTGCCCTTCCTCCCGGTCAGCCAGGCCCCCGCTGCCCCGGCCCCGGGGCCCGCTCT